CTAGTGGCACTTCACAAGCTGAGACAGACTCTGAAATGAATGACCCTAGATTTTGTTTATTTGTATTCTTTTGCTGAGAGCTCTTACTATCAGAGCTCTTCTCTTGCCCAGGCATTGCCTGCCAACCGTCCTTCTGAGGGCGCTTTCCTTCAGGACAGGGTGCAAGGTAAAACTTGTTTATGATTTTAACTAGGGTCATAATTAAATAAATGGTCTTTAAACATACTTCTTTTGTCTGGTTCAACCTAATAACCTCTTCATTTACAAGTCTTGCACTGCTTCCATGTTGGTCAGGTTTTTCCCTATCCTGGCAGCAGGCATCGTCCATATGCTTGTCATGAGGGCTCTCGAGGGTGAAGTGCCTTGCTAGTTTACTTAACCCAAAAGATAGTGCAACAATGGGGAAAAAGCAGAAGATTTTTGGGGTTTAGCTGTTGCTGTTTGTTTTGGGTTTTTTAGAGTGAATTTATAAATATTTTAAAATATTTTTTAAATGCCCCAATGTACTCCCTTTGATGAACAAGTAGTTTTGCAAGAACTCTTCAGTTGTGATCCTGGCTTACCACATGATATTAAGAAAGTAATTTCACATTTCTCATCTACAATGGGGACATTAAAATGGAAAAGGTAGTGTGAACTGTATTTTTTGTATCAAAATACTAGGGGGTTGTGTGGTACTGGCTTTATAAATACTGTGTAATTTTCCTCTTCAGCTGGATGTCTGGCTAAAAGTCTTCAGGTCTAAATTATTAATTGTTAACTAAGAAACACTTGCTTTTCTTCTGCAAGGTTTTGGTCCAAAGGTTTTTAATGCCCTCAAGTACTATGGTCAAACTTTACCTAATTGTCAAGATACAGTTTTATTGTTCTTGGCTTCTTCTGTACTTGAGTGGAGACTGTTCTTGCATTTATCTGGAAGGTATTACTGTAAATAATCAACATGTGAAGACACATGAGGATTGAGCTTTAGTGCCCCTCACAAATTGCATGTGCTCTGTTTGTGCATGGAAAACAATTCATTCAAGTGAAAGCTTTTCTTTCTTTGCAGCTGAGTTAATTGGTTCTGTAGCAAAGTCAAAACATGGAATTTGTTGTACCTTATTTCCCCTTGGAGACAACAGCACACAGAGATGGAGATTTGGAACCAAAGCAGCAGGTTCAGCGAGCAGAGCAGTGGGAGCTGGCTGAAATGCAAATGCAGAATCTGAAAAGGGAGTGCAGAACCCAAACTGGCAGCACAAACTGTTTTTACAGCTGCATTTTGACTTCTGGATCCTTAGTACAGGGTAGTCTCTTTTCTAGGCTTTTGAACTGCATACCAAAATCTTCAGATGGCCATGAACCATGACAGCCTGCCACAAGAGCATACCTTGGGAGTGAAAGGGAGAGGCAGCCTGGAGCAGGTTGCCAGCAGATCCTAATCCTTGTGGGATGCTCTTGGGCTGGGCAGGCAGAGGAATGACTTCCAATTGCCCGTGAGATGTCCTGGACATCATCACGAAAGCTTGCCTTGCTTTCTTTGGCACCAGGAATTCAACTGCCCAGCTGCTGGGAAGGCTTATACATCTGTGTTAAGTTCTTTACAGGATGAGATACCCAACCTTTCTGAAAAGAGTAAGATCATCTGATGGGTCTAAGGGGGACATTTTATATGTGCAGTCTGAAATGACATCCTTAATTCCAAACAAGCATATGTCTTTCACTCTTGCTATCTTACATTTCACCTTTCATGTGGTGATGAAATGAGCATTCTAGTTTAACTTACTAGTTCTTCAGTGCTAACCTGTCTTCTCCCCAAGTGTGTGGGTTTTCCATGGAGCATAAGTCTTTCAGATAATCCTTGTACTTCCACAAAGAGGGAGCAGGATATTTCTGCATGGGTGGTAGGTGTTCGTTTTTGCATTTGTTGCTCTCATTAAAGTGAGAGCTTGTTCCGTTTGTGTCAATAACACCTTTGATCCCCTTACATAAAGGGAACACTGAGTGTCCTGCAGAAAAGACCTTTTTAAAGTGCCTTGCAATGTTATGCTTCTACATCATGGTTAACAAAAGTTCATAAATCTATACTGGACTGGAGACCAAGTACAGTTCTCTATACTGTATTGTGCAGCACACACAATTTATTCTCAGCTTGATCTCATGATTGACCTCATGTGGACTTGTGCCCATGTAAGTAGCAGCTAAAATCAGTGGTCTGAGAACTAATCTGCATGTTGCAGACAGTAGGTTATTTAGTGAGAATGCTCCAAAAGTCTCTTGCTGCAGCATTTTCATTCAAAAAGGTCACTTCCATGAGTTCGTGCACAGCTGAATTTAATGTTCTTTCTCAGCAAGGCAGGCCACACTGGAGAGTGCATAATTATAATAAATACAACTTTGTTCTCAGCTGAAAAATCCATCTGAAATAAATTTTTCCAGCCCTTCCAAGAAATGCTTTTAGTAAGATAAATAAAAGCAATTCTTGCCGATTTCACATTCATTCAGCAGGAATGTTGGTGGGTGTAGGGTGCCTCCACTTAAGTCACTCATCACAGTGCCTTCTGGGCTCAGTCATATTCAATAGCTGGCTAAGGATAGCACTTGCAAATTGGGTTTCTCGCAAACCAATTAAACCCAAGTTCATTATTTCTGACTTGGTTTGAATCCTGGTTATTATTTTGAGTAAAATTGTTCTTAGCAACAAGTACAGAGAGTTCAGTTACACTCTCAACTCAGACAAACTTTAAACAATGCTTTGATAGGTGCATCTGGTTTTTGGGATACGCATGTATTTATACAAGCTTTTGTGGCTTATTTTCTGGTTGGCACTTCTGTGTAGTCAAAGAAGATTTGTTTTCTTCTGTGTTCTGTTTCGCAACAGTGGAAATACTGAAAAAGTCTCAGCCTAAATATGGAAGGAAAACTAGGGGTTGTTCTTTTCCTCCAAAACCTCTAAGCAAGTGCTTTAAAAAAATCCCCTCTTGGCCTTCATCTTTCAAGAGACTGAGCAGAGTGTGAAATGTCCTATCTTTTCTTTGTTTTATTTTTTTGTCTGGGTATAGCAAAGAGGCTCTGCTAGTTGGTTGGGATACTGCTACTGGTGGAAGCTGAGTTTTCTCACAGTTCTCCTGGGTTCATGTGCAGGTCTGGTTACCTTTGAGATTTCAGAGGGGCTCTGCAGGGTGGTCCTTAAATATCTTTTTGCTTTCCCTGCAGAGACTCTAGATAAACAGTTTCCAAACTCCACTCAAAGCTACCCCAGCTTTTGGTTTAGGAACTCCTAGGTTCCCATTGTTCCTACTTTTGTACAGTTGGTTGCTGCTGCAAGGTCGCTCCTGCAGGACTCTGCTGGGATCTATGAGACTGCAAGGGAGAAAAGACTCACATGGCAGTGTCAGTTGTAAATGAAAGGCAACACAGTCATTCTGCCCTTGCCCTGAATTTGGACAGCCCTGTGCCATACTGCTTGGCCTGAAGAACTACCTGCATGTAAGCTGTCTTGTCCTGTTTTCTTTTCACTTTGGAGAGAGGGAAGCATGGAGGCCTTTCTAAAGGAAAAAAGAGCCTGATATCTAGGAAAGAAGAGACTGTTGACTGTGAAAGGAGAAAACAAGAGGGAGGTGGCTGAAATCTGAGTGCTCTGACTTCATTAAATGCAAGTGATAGTCCTGGACCTGAGGATGTGAGGTGGAAAGTTGAATTTACTTTCATTCACCTTCTGTGTGCTAAATTAGATAGTCATCTCTCAATGACTTGGTATCTCTTCAAGCCCCACTGGGTTTCCATTGACACCAGAGAATGATGAAAGGTGAAATATGCTCTCTCTTGCTAGACTGGACTTGTGCCTTATGGTCACATTCATTCAATACCGATTGGGAGCAGATTCAATTAGCACTTAGATCATGATGGTCTGCCTTTTTTTCTCAAGGTATTATTTTCTCTCCTTGCTTATCTACTTTATTCCACTGCCTTCCTTTTCCTGATGCAAGTCTTTGTGTTCTCTACTTTATCTTTTGAAGCCATCAGGACTTGAATACTTGGTACTTGCTAATGAAGCTTGCTTGGCAGTGAGAAGGCATGGGAAGCTCACTTGAACTAATTGTTTTAGGATCTCTCCAGGCACCCTGACCCTATGCACAGACATGGTTTACTTTAGAATGATTGTCTTAAGTTAGAAAATCAGCTCTTGTTCAAAGATGAAAACACACATTGATCAAAACCTGAATTTCATGTGGATTGTGTAAACATGTAATTTGGGTTAGATCCGGGCACTGGAAAATATGCAACACTGTTGTCCAGGAAGTTCCAGTGCAAGCAACGTGAGGAACTTCAGAAAGTCACATTAATTGTCTCCTTGGGGAAGTGCCTCAGAAATCCTGACCTCTGCATTTCTGCTGTGTGTGTGACGCTAGTGGAGATGATCACTTGAGCAGTTGCAACATTCTTGTGTACATAAGTTTGAATGACATTATGAACTGTGGAAAGAATAAGGCTGTGCTTCCCAAATCACCCCCCAGAGACTCTCCCTCTGGCCCTGCACATCAGCAATCACTTCATCATCAAAGCACTGTCTGCTTCCATCAATGCCATGTTTCCTATGGTCAAATCACAGATACCTTTTCCTAGGGGTCTATGCACTTGAATTTCTAGGGGTGATGGCTGTGGTGCTCTTGAACACCTCTGCTCTTTGCCAAGCCATCATCCAGTGTGTAAGGTTTTGGGCTGACACAGACATCCTGTTCCTGTCCCCATCTGCTAGAGGTTTCCTGTTGAAGATGTAAGTTTTACTCTCCTCTTTATCAGCGCTGACAAAAGTTGTTATTTAAGTGTTGCTCAATATTTTCAACATGATTTTGGGATGACTGCTAATTCCTTCAATGCCGTGTTTTGTTTCAGAATTTCTAATCCCATTTTCTATGACTAAGTTCAGTTGCGTGGTTTCCCCAGAAAGGATTAAGGTTTACTGCCATAGGTACGTCATCCTGCCTTTGAAGCTGCTTGTTCATGCTTTCCTTGGCAAGCTCTGGCAGATGTGCTTGGGAACAACAGAGATGGTATCTTTTTGAAGCCGTGAAAGGGTTAATCAGAAGCATGTTTATGAAATCAGGTCGCTCACCCTTACAAGCTTTTACTGTGATCTTTTTGAATACTTTTGGAAGATTTATTGCCTGCTTTTGTAATTTATATTACATTTTTCTTTCCTTTCTTGAAGCAATTTTAATGCTATGTGTGATACTGTGAAAATTACCTGTGACAAGTATCTTTTCTTGGCAAGTCCTTAATTGCACAGCTCTTGGTTGCCAACTGGAGAACGTGACTATCTTCATGTGGATGGCCTGCCAGTTTTGGCTGGTATTTTTGGGATGACTGAAGGAGTGTAGAGCAGCTGAAGCACATCTGTAGTTCCAAAGCAAACCCAAGCAAAGGACTTCCATCCCCCAGCCGGCAGATCACTGTTTGTACAGATGCTTCTTCTCAAGAGCCTTTTTGTAGGACTGGTCACACTTGTGGGTGAGTTTGAATTTGTGATGGGGAGAGGGGCTGATGGCTGTTCATGGGAATATTATTTTTCATCAGGGAGATTAAAAATACTGCTATTGACTAGGAGATGGCTTTGGAGATTCTCCAGTGAAATGGAGCACCTGCACATATGCAGTACTTTTTGAAAAATGTTAAACAGCATCTACCCTCTGCTGGGAATTGTTATTGTGCTTTTGGCTCTATCTGCCTTGCTTGCACATGTACCATTGTGAAATTTTTACAACCAAACAAAATATCAGAGAATGGTTGTCTTCAAGACAAAGCTGATAGCTGCCTCCAGCTGATGCCTCTTTGAAACCAGTTGAGGAGTGTGTGCTTGCCTCACTGGGACCTGCACCTACCTGCACTGCCGTAGCACCTGGATATTGATGCAAGGCTCCTGGATTGCAGAGAGCCTGGATAGTTCTGGTAGGGTAGATGCTATGGTGCCAGGCTCTGCAGGTGTACATGATGCAGTTAAACAGAATGTGAAAACCTTAATTCCTAGTAAGTTGTCTCAAAGTGGATCTATTTGTGCATTTTCATACAAAATCTGTCTTAATTTTTAGTAAATTTCTAAAGCCATGACAGAGACTTATTGGGACTTGCTGTGTTTACCCCTGTCTAGTAGTGAATGCTGAGCTTTGCAAGTCCTGGCTTTTGGTACAAATTCATGTGTTGTGTACTTGTAATACCAGGATCTTCTAGAAACCCATAGGAATCAAATGACTGTTATTTGTATTTTCTTGCCTGTTAAAACTGCACAAATGTAGACTCTTACTTCTGAAGATTTCTTTTCTTCCCAAGGAAGTATCATCTCCTGGGATTTAAGTATTTGCTGATGCAAATCTCTGTGATCACAGTTAAAGAACTACTGAGTGTCACATTTTTAGGTCACCAGTTCAAATCTAGTCCAAAGAGGTAATGGGCCTTTTTGGACCCCTAATGCCTTTCATCAGGATTTATGTTTACTTGCTTAAACTAAAATTGGACCATCTGCTATTCAAAATTATGGTTCAAGTGGAAAATAAACACTAGAAGCAGTTCTTTCTACAGCAGAAAATCTTGTTTGACTTGTGTATCTTTATGTGCTTGTAAGCACACATGGAGCTTTAGAAGGAATAAAGGTTGCAGAGAAATGGATGCATTTAGTCAGGTCTGGTATTTTTGGTATGCTTTTCTATGACTTTTAAATTGCAAGAGCTTTTGAATAAAATATAGGAGGATACAGACTTTGAAGGCAAAGAGATTTTGAAACTGAAAATGCAGTGGGAGAGTATTTTGAATGGCAACTGAAACACTTTTGGACAAAGTATTTCTGAAATTCTTCCATGCAGCTGCTTTTCTAAAGAATGATGGCTGGTTGGTTGGCTTTTTTTTTCTTTCTTTCTTGTTTGGTGCTTCTAGCATTCATGTCAAAATCCTTGCACAAAGCTGCATTGCTAAATCTGATCTCTAAATTCAGGTTTCTGGTCAAGAAGCGTGTACAGTAACATCTGGTACTTGTGATAACACATTGGACTGTACCTTGCCCAGGCTGCAGAGAGCTTCAGGGGTTCAGCCACACAGGCCTTTGCAGCTTTACAGCTCCTCTTTGTGTCCTCTCTGAGTGGAGCTTCAGGGATTCAGTTCAGCCACACAGGCCTTTGCAGCTTTACAGCTCCTCTTTGTGTCCTCTCTGAGTTGTTAGTCTGAAGTTGGGAAATCCTTGCAGTCTCTGAGATATGCTGTGATATGGTAAGCCTTGCTAATCCCTGCAGTTAGGAGCTGACTTCTTGAGTGCTGGGATCTGCCTGCAACCACCTCTTCCTTCCAACCTTTTCCTGAATGTTTCCTGAGCACTCTCTGGCTTGTTTCAGGGACCAGCTTGGCAACGTTATCAGGAATCAATAGCTGGAGTCCTTCAGGAAAGAAGTTGAAGATGCTGAAGTATGAATTCTGGTGTCCTGCTTGTTAGAATCTGTTAGCAGAGACGTCAAGATGTGAAGAAGAGAGATGTGGAAGCCAGTACAAGTGTTCTTTTCTTTGTGCTCCTGAGTTGAGAAATAAAGATTTGAGCTGGCTTCCCCAACCCAAAGACTGTTGCATAGCTTCCCATGCATCTCATGCCATGGGAGATCTCTTCTGTCAGTATTTTTAGGTACAAAAAGTGGATTGTGAGGTGTGGAGATAGAAAAATTAGATATTTAATGGCATGGAAAAAAAGTTGCCCATAGAACTTGAGTCATCACTATGGCACTTTGTTATGATTCCAGTCCTGTGAGCCTGGAATGTATGTTTTCATGTGTGGTTACTCTGTAAAGGGTCTTCAGTCACGTGAAGGTCTGAGTTCTTGGCACTTCAGGAGAAATTATGAGATCATTCATTTTTAATCCTGATGCCACTTTTTGCTATCATATTGCTGGTTATCTCAGAAGCTGTTGGCAATGGATTTATGGCTTCCTACTTAGACTGTCCAGTTACAATCAAGTATGTCAGAAGCATTGAGTACATAATTCTGCGTCTCTTTTGATGCTGATTTTATAAAGGCAGTATTGAAGTTCTGCATTAGCAAAGGAATACCAACCACTAAACTATTTCTGCCAGTATTTTAAATCTCTGATTACTTTTTGGCTTGTAACGATATCAGCCAGAAATGATGCATGGCTAGGAATCTTTCTAAATTATCATCCATCTTTTTGCTGGAGACCAAAAGAGGAAAGTTACTGAAGTGGAAAGAAAACTTTTTTTTTTAAGCTGAGTCATGAGAATATTGGCAAGTTGCAAGGGAAAATTTAAATCTGGTGTTTGCTTGCTATAGTTAACAATGAAATCCTCCTTTACAGGAAATCACTAGAGTGAATTATGCTTTCAGTGTCCTTGATACCATGGAAGAATAAAAGAAAATAGAGTTGTCTTTGTTTTAAAATTTATTTTTAATACAGATATTTGGTGTAGGACAGAGGTAAATAAAAGGAAGATGCTTCTTTCTACTGACAGTTCTCCAAAGATAAACCCTAAAAACATGGTCACCATCAACAATTACTAGTTTTCATAAACAGTATGATTTTTTATTTGTTTTCTCTTACTACCTGCAAATAACTAAATCACAGAATGTTCTCTTCTGAAACCTGAGTGCTTTTAAGAGTTCTGCTTATTTTCAGTATGTATACAAATATTAATACTGAACTAGTTTGAAAAATATCAAATGAAAAGCAAAATGTCAAATCTTTTGTGTAATATAAAGTAATAGGTGTTCTCTATAAACATTAATGACTTAGTCAGTTTCTGATATAGTAAATTCTGTTCTTTTTCTGCTAGTAGAAAAGGAAAGAATAGAAGACAGTGACTTTGCCAGACATGAAGCCCAGTACAGTTGAGAATGGATAACTAGTTATTTGGAATCCCAGTTATGTTTTGTATAGAGGCTATAATTTGTCTTGCACAAGAAACCTGGCTAATGTAAAAAAAAAGTTCAGTGCCTCCCATCTTTTTCTCTTTTTGAAAATAGATGAAATAGACTGCAGAAGAACATATTTGTCAACAGGAAGTAACCATGAACTTAGGAGTGCAGGCATTGAGTATAGCTGAGCATGACTGCAGAGAGTAAAGACAGAACCTCTTGCCCCTCGCTTTTCAGGCTGTAAGTAGGACCAGAGAATGCCTTTCATGAGGGTGGAGCAGGCTTTTCCATCCCCGTTGTGTGTGCAGTTTCTTCATACAAGTCTTGGTGCCAGGCTTTCATGGCACAGGCTTGGGGCCACATGGAGTGAAGCTGCAGGTTGTCACCAGCCCACAGCCACAGCTCTTGCACTCCTGGTGACAGAGGAGTGTTCAGATATTAGTGGGATTTGAGGTAGATCAAATGGAACATGAGTATTTCAAGGTGTCCCTGTGCAGATTTTTGTCATACTACCAGATGTACTTTACTGAACTGTTGCATGTAATGAACAACCTTTTGTGATTGCATTGATCAAGATAGCACCTTGGGTGTGTTCTTCATGCAAGGGGAAAAGTGAGGTCAGTGGGAATGAATGTTGTGCTGCAGATTGGACTGGAAAAGAGATACTTTGGTGTCCTGGGAAGAACAAGTCTTGGACTTCTGCTGTGGGGCATTCAGTCTAACATGGCATCTTAATGTTCTGTGACAGGTGACTTTCCTGCATTCCTTGTTGGGCTGCCCTACTTGTTCAAGTGATGACCAGCTCTGTTCTTTGTCCTCTGCTTTTTCCTCTGGCAGGCAGTCCTTTCTGTTGTCCTGGTACATGTGCTCCAGCCTTGCCTGCCATCTCCTTTTGGCTCAGAATTAGCCACTGTATTGTTCCTTGTAGGTGTGGTCACAGGTCCCACCCTTCAGAAAACTGGAAGCCTGGTTTTAAGTCACCTCCACAAGCTTTCTGGATGTGATGCATAGCATGGAGAGCTATTTGGATGTTGGCTTTTCAGGTATCTGGATATTGTGGTAGGAATGAAGGCAACCAGAAAAGCAACAGGCAGGAAAATCCTGTAAGCTACATCTGCTAGTAGCCCTAGATGAATAAAACTGAGATGTTCTCTTAACTCCTCCACCTTTCAGGTTAGATCTGCTTGTTTGTTCAATGAGTGAAGAGTATTATGCCTCAGAACATGTGCAGAAGTGGGATGGCTACATGTAGGGCTCTCAAAAACTCAGAAGCTGATGTTGGCATGCTCATATTCTACACTGACACAGAGACATTCCTGGTAAATTGATGGCAAAACATAAAATCTTTTTTTCTCTTGCTCTTCTCCACAGTTTAACTCTCCTTATGATGTTTATCTCTGATCAGAGGATATTAACAAAATCTTTATCTTCTTGGTTTTACAAATTTGGCTTAAGAATTCTCTGCTTGGCAAAACTTGGCAAACATTGCCTTAGTATGCAAACAGTGGGGATGGGATAGGGGAAATCACTTGGCTGTTGAAAAGCTGCATATGGGGAAGTCACATGGAGGTTTCAGTGTTTTATTTATAATTCTGCAAAGGCCTCTTCTTATTTGAAAAATAGGAGAGATCAGTTAGTGGGTTCTGGAAAGCAAACAGCTAGATTCTTCCATGAGTATTTTTAACATAAATATTAACTTCACAGATTGTGGCAGTATTTTTTTCCTTGAATACTTGTTTTTAGCCTTCAAGATGTATAACTGGTAAAGTAACATTGTCAAGAAAACTGTAACTCCTGTAGCATCTGTTTTTTAAAATTCTAATTGTGAAGCCATAAGAGATGCTTTGTTTTCATTTAGCAAATACATACTGAGTTTCCAGGAAGGTAACTTGATTTGCAATAAGCATATCCAGTGAGAACATATACTTCTCATGTTTGTCTTTTGTTGAAGGATTAGAGTATTTATTTCAAAATCTTTTTCAGAAGAACACTAGTTTTAACATTACCGTTAAGTAATATTTAAGTAAGAATCTTTTGCATTTTCACATTTGGCTGTATATGTGAAGACACATTTCCAAACACAAGTCCTTGGAAGGATTTTACTAGTTAATAATGTAACCATGAGTTTTATGTCAGCTTCATTCTGAGCAGTGTTTTGCTGATACCAGTATAAGTTAACTGAGTTATGTGAAACTGCTTGAACAGAGCTAAAGGAGCAATAAAAGTGATCTGCCCATGAGGCTTTAGCATTTTCCCTCTGCTCAGATTGCTGAACATGACTAAGTCTTTGCAGAATGACATCTAAGGTTACACTTGGAGTCATTAGGTTATAAACAGTCCATAAAATGTTTTGCATACTTCATGTTAATATTCGTCAGAAGATCAAGATTCCCTCGGGAGAAATGAGAATATGCACCAAAAACATTCTCAGTCTTGAGGTTTATCCACAACTTCCTTGATCACTAAAGATCAACTGTCTCATGAAGACATTATTGCAGAACAAATTTTCATGTTGCTCTGAGTGTTTATATATGGGGGGAATCTACTGGATAGTGCCCTTTGATGTTTTTGCTGACTGGCTGAGTTGTAAATTACATTTGAAAGTCTTTCTGACTCTAATTTGGTAGATTTATATGAACCTTTATGTTCAAGAATGTTTTTGAGCCCCAGGCTGTGTTAAGAAAAAAACATGGTAAAAGTGCTCAGATCTTGACAGAATGTCTGAATCTGTGCTATTGAATAGATAGAGGGTTTCTTTCATTTCTGTTCATTCCCAGTAAGGGCTTAGAGGCGTTGGGGGTGAGTTCTTGACCTTTCTTGAAGATGCCAGTATCTCTCTGAGAGAGCTGACCCACCACTTGTTTGGGTGGGGTTTTTTTTGTTGTTTGTTTTTTGGTTTTGTTTTCTTGGGTTCTTTCCCCGAAAATAAATCTGTCTCTACTGTGAAAAAATGGTTGTTCCTAGACACAATCCAAATAAAGCTGGGTCTGTCAGGGCACTGTTGAACTTGGGAAATGGTGTTGTCTTTTGTTCTGCAGATGCCAAGCACTGACTACTGGGAGTCAATTAGGGTTGACTCCCAGTAGTCAGTGCTTGGCATCTGCAGTGGTACAGCAGCAGCCTGTGCTCCTTGCCTGTGTGGTCAGCTGAGCTGACCTAGGGCAACACTGAACTGGAACAAAACCTCCAGACCACCAACTTGTCCTTCAGAAGCTAATCTTGTTTCAGGTTCCACTGTTACTTTGTGAAATACTGGGATTTATGGACCTGGCAGGGTGGCTCTGGCAGGGCTATCACATTACAGCAAGATCTGGGCTCTCAGTCAAACCCCTGACTTGGTGGCATTTCTCATACCTAAGGACTCAACTCACAAGGGATGTCCTTGGCATCTGCACGCATCGAAATTTCTTCCAGGTCATCTAAATGAGAGCACAGAGTGGAGGACTTGAACAAGAACCTGGAGAGAACTGCTGTAAGCTGCAGACACTCCCAATCTAGCTGCAGTTCAGGGAATGTAGGAGCCACTAGTGCATCTTCCTCCTCTTGGGAAGTAGGAAGAAGCATTTTCCATGTGTGTGTTGAGTTTTTGGAGGCCTGGCTGTTCCTCAGGGTAATTCAAAAGCTGTCTGCAGACAATTTGACAGCATCTCTTCACGATAATGAGGAATCAGCAGGGTTGTTTCCTCCAG